AGGCAGGGGGAGAGGGTTACAGTGGGCAGGCAGGGGGGGAGAGAGGGTTGCAGGGCAGGCAGGGGGAGAGAGGGCTGCAGTGGGCAGGGCAGGGGAGAGGGCTGTGGGGCAGCAGGGGAGAGAGGGCTGCAGTGGGGAGAGAGGGCTGCGGAAGAGAGAGGGCTGGCGGGGGGAGGAGGGGGAGAGAGGGTCATGGGGAGGAGGGGAGAGAGGGAGGAGGAGGGGAGAGAGGGTCATGGGGGAGGGGGGGGAGAGAGGGCTGGCGGGGGAGGAGGGGAGAGAGGGTGAGAGAGGGCTGCGGGGGGGAGGAGGGGGAGAGAGGCTGCAGCAGCGGGGAGGAGGGGGGAGAGAGGGCTGCAGCGGGGAGGGAGGGGGGAGAGAGGGTTGCAGAGGGGGGAGAGAGGGGCTGCATGGGGAGGAGGGGGGAGAGAGGGCTGAGGAGGGAGAGAGGGTTGCAGCGGGAGCAGGGGAGAGAGGGCTGCAGGGGGAGAGGGCTGCAGCGGGGGAGCAGGGGAGCAGGGGGAGAGAGGGCTGCAAGGGGGAGCAGGGGGAGAGAGGGTTGCAGCGGGGGGGGGGAGAAAGGGGTTACATGGCGGGGGTGAGGGGGGGCGGCTGTGTTCTACCTGTAATAAATTCCCTGGTGGTCCGGTGGGTTAACGCTCTGGTCTGCAGCTCCGCCAGGTGCAGAGCCGCAGACCGTGTAATAAGTCTCACGAGCGCCTAGAGTGTTGCCATGGTAACGCTCTGGGTGCTCGCAAGACTTTTATCACACGGTCTGCAGCTCTGTACCCGGCGGAGCTGCAGACCGGAGGTGCTAGGCAGACTCATTGGAGGGAGCCCGGCGGCATACAGGGTAAGCCGCCGGGCCCCTTCCTGATCAGTCTGACTCCCGAGTCCCCAGCGGCCCTGGAGGTGAGGGTCAGCGCAACCCAGTGGGAATCGCCCTGCGACCCACCAGTGGGTCACGACCCACACTTTGGGAACCGCTGAGTTAGACTACTGGGGCATGGTCTACACACCAAAACCACTTCATTACACTGTCCCTTTAAATTTTACAGCCGGCTTTATTGCACTTTGATAGTCTCTCTCTCCGTAATTATCCTATACTGGTTTGTTGAATTGTCTGAGCAGCAACACATCTTGACTTCAGTAGACACAGCACTACTGCAAATTGAGACCTTTACACAGAGCTATTTTAATCATATGGCAAAGTTTCCCTGCTGCTTTAGTTTGTTGCCAAACTTGGTGTTTCCCTCTATGTGTGGGATTACTCTCCTTATAAGTTGTCTGAGTTGCTTGATTTCAGGCCATCAGTTACTGTACTCTTACAGTAGTCTGCTCATTACGAACTGTACTTTCTGCTCAAAGTGGTTTGTTCTAGATTTGAAAAGTGGACAAAACTTGTTTCTACCATTTGAATAGAAACTGAGTGAGCTTGTACTGAAACCTGTTGCTAATTGTCAGGTGTGTACTTGATGCTGTTTGTGCTCTTTGTAAACTAATCATCAGGGAGGCAGCTGTCAATATGAGAGGAGCCTCTTTAAAGGAACACTAACATTGCAAACATCTTTTCCGAACGTATTTTCCCCCACTACTACTTAGATTTATAGGCCACCCATAAACGGTTAAATACGTTTTACTTGCCTTTAGTCCTCTGGCACGCCATTCTTGCTTTGGCAACTGCGCCTCCCCTGACTGAGATCATCATCATCATCATCATCACAGGTGATCTTTGCTAATCCGATGCTCCCTCATGAGTTAAAGCCACTAGAGAAGGACTTTGTACTAGAACCGCTCCATTAAGTGTTAGTGGTCCTGGTGCTTTAAGAGGCTAATGGTGTAATGACATTTCTAAAGATAAGGTTCTGGTGTTTATTTTTATTTTTCATGTAGCCTAAATTCTTCTTTTTTATTCTTATATAAAAAAACTTTATATATATTGTTGTCCCAGTCAGTGCTGTTTTTTAGGTTAAATCTTGGGCAATGCCATGGTATAGCTGTTATCAAGTGAACTTTAAAAGAATTGCTACTCACTGTGAGCCAGAAGCTTTCCTTTCTGAGCTAAGCCTGATGGTGTGGGGCTGATTGGCTAAGAGCGATCAGCTGTAAGCTAATGAGCTAGCCCTGCACAAGAGGGCTGGCTCAAACTCTCAGCTCTCTTGAGCCAAGCTCTGACCTCATTAGTTAACAGAAGCTCCTGAGCAGGAGCATCTGGCTCTCTGCTTTGTAGAGTAGGTGGAATGTGGCACCAGGTGGACCACAGGTAAGAAGTGAAAACTTTCAAGAAACTCCTTTCAATGGAGAGGGCAACCAAGACACTACTGGCACCATAACCACTACAGCATGCTGTATTGGTTGTGGTGTTTGGAGTGTTACTTTAAAGTGCACTTTCTATGAACTCTAATAAAATCATATGGTATGCACACACTTACACACTGGGTACATTTAATGAGTTGGTGAAATCAGGATAATTTTCTTACTGTTGCATAGAGTTTAACTACTGTAAATGTCAAATCATGGTTAGAACTATTTCAACAGTTTCATTCTGTCCGCTTGATCCAAAGTTAAACCTAAGAATTAAATGTGTCATTTAAGGTCAGCATATTTTTCTCTGTAGTAAAATGTTATTTGAAAGTGGATTGGAGTTTATGGTGCCAGCTAAATAAAACTTCTACAAACCACCTAGTGCGTAAATCAGATTGCATGAACAACACTTGAAATTACGAGCCAAGAGGAAATATCTGTTCGGTATGCGAATGAATGGAAATGGTTTTAGTCCAACTCTTGATTTATGTATTTGAAAAGTAGATATGTTTTCCTTCATTGCTAATGTTAAAATTCTATTTCTCAGACTTGTATATTTGTAATAAATTGGTAACTACATGGTTCTTTATTCTCCCCCCCCCCCTTCACTTTTGAACTGCAATGATTTTATTTTTTATTCATTACAGTTCTCTTCTATATGTTGTGAGTTAAAGTAGTAACAATTGATAAAGGGTAACTGTCACCCTTGAGATGATGCTTTCCTATGGGGAAGGCCTAATGCACATGCATGTGGATAAGGCACTCCCCACCCTTTATTTGCTGTCGGGAGTGGGGGGGGGATTGGAGTTGAGGTAGAGAGACACTACAGTGTTAGCAATACAAAGCTGTATCCTTAACACTATAGTGTAGCTTTAAGCTGTGTTGGTTCCTGGAATGTTCCTCCAACCACACCCCAATAAACGCCATTGAAACGCTGGGCTAAAGAATGTAGTGGAGGCAACTGTAAAGCATACTTACCTCTGCTGTGTTTCTAAATACTGACACCAGCATCATCCAACAATGGACCAGTTGCATCTACTTCCAGAGTGTACTAAAAGCTTGTTTCCGTGTGGACACTTCTTCATTTCTGAACAACATTGATTAGCACAACATTAAAGCCAATAACAGATTAAGTCAATAACAGTGATTCTATCTTGACCGTGGCCCCTGTCTAGGTGTGGGATATATTAAGCAGCAAGTGAACAGTCCATTCTTGAAATTCAAGTGTTGGAAGCAGGAAAAGTGGGAAAGGAAAGAGAGTGACTTTGATAATGGCTAAATAGTAATGATTATACTTCTTGTGGGGTGTTCCATGCAGTGGTCAGTACCTACCAAAAGTGGTGCAAGGAAGGACAACCGGTAACCAGTGTGGGTGTCTTGGGCGCCCAAGGTTCATTGATGCACTTGGGGAGCAAAGGCTCCGATCACACCGACTGGATCCTATAGCTCAAATTGCTGGAAAACTTGGAAACCTTGGGTACTGGCATTCATGTGGATGCTACTTTGACTTGTACCACTTACCTAGAGTTTTACAGACCACTTATGCCTCGTCATGGCAGTGGCCTCTTTCAGCAGGATAATGCACCCTGCCACACTGTGGTAACCCCTGGTGGGAAAGAGTATACACATATACCGTATGTGATACAATTTGTATATTTACTATAGTTTTACAATAATGTGTCCATTTATTCCATGGGCTAGTTTGTATTTGCATGTGGTTCTTGGAATCCCGTTTCACAACCACCATGGGGTGGTAAGGCAGCTTTGCTTGGACAATAAGCACTTATGGTTCCTGCTCTGTTTATACTGCTTCACCATTAAATTGCTATATTTATGTAGCTTCTCTGCCAGGCTTGAGTTCCAGCAAACAAAAATGACATGCCCCGATACAAGGTAGTTTGTTTAAAAATATGGCCGATTTATATATAACTATTTCAAATTTAGCTAATGAAAATAAACTACTTTCATCAAACCAAACTTAGAAATTTTAAGAATCCAAGAACAAATTAATCTCAAACTAAGACAAAAATCAATTTATAAAATGAAAATCAAATATTATGCCAAAGGAAGTAGAGTGGATAAATTATCGGACAGACTTGAAAAACATGATTCTAAATCCAAAATATCTAAACTGATAGTAAACAATAAAACTTTATTATTAAAAGCTTTTCCTATGCTTTCAGGAGATAACTATTTAAGTTGTATAAATCTTCATAATAGTTATTCTCAAGAATCAGATATAGTTAAATATTTTCAAAATTTAGAATTCCCAAAACTTTCACAAACACAAAAAAAAGCTAAACTTTCCTATTACTTTGGAAGAAGTAGATCGAAATATTTCCAAACTTCAATCTCAAAAAACCCAGGACCAGATGGATTAAGCTATATCTTTTTATAAACTTCCGATTTCTCTTTTAAACAAAGATATTAAAATATTTGCAGCCATTCTTGATGATAGAATAAAACAAGTTTTAAACAATGTAATACATCCATATCAAATAGGCTTTGTGCCTAACAGATTTTCAGGCTCGAATGTAAGACGACTGCTTAACATATTGAATCTAGTAGAGAGACCAGGGATTCCCCTCTTGACCTTGTCAATAGATGCTGAAAAAGCATATGACAGGGTCAGTTGGGGATTTATAAGAAAATCTCTGCAAAGTTTTGGTATCCAGGATTGGATATTGCAAGCAATT